ATCTATATGTATTCCTTGAAAATGTTTGCTCTTCCTCACAGAAAGTTTCGCTCATGTCTTCTTTAACAGTGTTCTTTTATTTCATTGTATTTATTTTTATTTGACCTCCTTTGTTAAAGTAGTAAATTTTGCTTAGTGGTTAAATGACACCCAAAAACTTTAATATAGAAACTTTGATGTTTATGCTATAGTAGTATTTTGGTTGCAATATTAGACATGCATTTTAAAAAAACTACGTATGTTATTTTCTGCAATAAATAGTGTACACTTGGCACTCAAAAAATGTTATTAGGGTACACTGCTGCACGTAACAGCATGACCCGGAAGAATGTGAAAAGCCACATTTTAAAATGATGTTGTTTTAAATTCACCAGAGTGAGTGTTAAATAATTTTAAAAATGTTAATACTTACTTAAAGTGTGAATAATCACATTCTATCAATGTGTATTACTATTCGTTTATTTAACATTAACTTCAAAAGTTTTTTTAAGGTAAGACACATTTATAGATATTTCTACTCTTAACTATGTGCCAAACATACCTACACATGTTTATAACTCGAAATTAGCTATCTTATTCCCTTCTTACAGGTTGTGGTTTAGGGAAGGAGTTTCCATCCGTGGAAAGAATTGCTGATGGTCGGATTGCAAGAAAAGGTGATTGGCCCTGGCAAGTGAGCCTGCAGGTGGAGGGGATCCATTTGTGTGGCGCATCTTTGATCAGTGAAGAGTGGCTCCTGACCGCGGCTCACTGTTTTGACTTATGAGTTCCCAGTCTATACCCATGGGATCACTAGCTTTGCCTCTTTCTCATCTCTTCACATCCGATAGTTCTCTCTTTTACATTTCCTTTATAAACATCTCAGGCTGCAGCCTGGTCAACATAGTGACACCCGTCTCTACTAAAAATACAAAAATTAGCTGGACATGGTGGCATGTGCCCATAGTCCCACCTACTCATGAGGCTGAGGCAGGAGAATCGCTTGAACCCAGGAGGCAGGAGTTGCCGTGAGCTGAGATCACACCATTGCATTTCAGCCTGAGTGACAGAGTGAGACTCCGTCTCAAAAAACAAACACCCAAAAAAGAAAACATCTTAGACCTCCCAGTGCCACTTATGATTGTCCAGCAGGCTTAGGAATAAATGACAGTTAACTGAAGAATAGTAGAAAAAATTAGAGAGAATATCTTCAGTTCCAACTGAAAATATACTCTCCAACAATCTCAATTTTAACTAGGAACAAGCCAGCACTGTCAAAGATTATGCACACTCACCTGTTCTCCTGAGAGATATTTTAGATAAAACAAACAAACAAACAAAAACTCTGTTAATAGTTTCCTGAACTATAGGTTATAGCTGATGATCCCACATGAATATCTTTGGTGCTGTGCTTTTATTCGTTGTATGTTTTTTGACAATTTAACATATAGAACACTTGGAAATAATACAGAGATACAGTAGCCCTAGTAAAATTTATATAAAATGGGAGAATATTCTGGGTAAGATGTTAAATAAAAAGAAAGCATGAGGAAACAATATAAATATATAAAATATCACTCCAATTTTACCTCTCTTTCTCTTTATAACTATACATACATTTATATGATCGTGCCTTGATATGAGTGTATACATGAATCTGTGTGTATATGTCTACTTAATAATTATGTTTTCTTAAATTAATTTGTGTTATTTATATAATCAAAAATGGCAATAATGTAGAATAATGTAGAATAATATACAAATACAAGCTTCCTTCAAGGAGAGTAATTTAAGCTGCCTTGGAATGGGGGTTTGTTATCAAGTAGATGAAAGCAAAGCAGTCGTAGGAGAGAAGCCTCAGATAAGAAGGTGGGATGGTCCCAATCAATTATTGCCTTAAAAAATTTGCCCCTCTCCCTCACTTATGTCCTCTGCCCATCCAGAGTCCTGGGCAAATTTAAACTAGAAATGAACCAACTGTACTCCTTTTACTCTGTGATCGGTGAGAAAAATTCCAAACTGTAGATGGCTAGTTTTGGAATAACCCTGAGTCCCTCACTAATGAGAAGAAAGGTGGAGTCAATTATTATTCATGAGAACTATGCCGCCCATAAACACGATGATGATATCGCTGTAGTGAAGCTCTTCACCCCCATCATATTTTCCAATGAGGTGCACAGAGTCTGTCTTCCAGAAGCTACTTTTGAAGCCTTGCCTAAGAGTAAAGTGTTTGTCACTGGATGGGGTGCACTTAAATTAGATGGTGAGTTATCTCAGTAAAACAACAAAGCAAAAAATATAAACCTATCCTTCATTTGAACAGGGATATGAAATAAAATACAAAATCAAAATAAATAAGAGATGAAATCAGATGTCCCATGATAAATATGGCAAAAAACAAACAAGAAACAGATGTGGTGAATTTCAAAAACGTTAGCACCATTACTATTACACAGTACTTATGTTTATTGTCTTTATATGGACTGTTTGGAAACTGGTTAGAGCTTTATTTTCCAAATTTATTAAAGCATATTTTTACATCATTTTTTTTCTTTCAAATGCTGTCTTTCATATGTGTAGTTTCTGCTATGACTGCTTGATTCATAAAGTATATAATTCGCAAGCACTAGTAATGATAAGCTTTTGCAATGCATCATGCAGCTAAACAGAAACAGCCTTAAGTGAATAAACCGAATGACTACTCTTTACCTGGCCCTAAATATTAAATGGGGTCCCTCTGGTCCGTGTATCTATGGAGCTGTTCTTCAACCTGAAACTTTATAAATTTGACAATAAACTACAAACATAGATGTTTAGATCCTGATATGACTTTCCCATTTTTATGTCTATTGCTTGACTTTTACATATGAGGGTTTAATCTGCCCTCAAATGTCTAATTTTTGTTTCGGGTTCCTATTATGAAGTCATATGAATCTAATCAGTTAATTTTTATAGAAGTCAGCTTCCCTCCAATATACACTCTAAAATTCTGATGTTGAGTCTAGGTTGATACACTATCGTTATAATCTCAGATTATGTAATTAAATTTTCCTAATCTCTGAGCGATCTGCATTGTTCTGTAGGAAATGGTAATGAGTATGAAGGGGAATTAAATCTTTTAAGACTTAAAGCCACTTCCTGATAAAAGTAGAAAAGGAAAACATCTACTACTTGAGTAACACCATTACGCTTACTTCTATAATCTAACTAAACTTAACACCTCCTACTCCCAGAGTTTGTGAGTGATCTGGTACTTCATCATGAATCATTCAAAGCCCAATAGTGTGTAGATTACCGTGCAATGAGCTATCTACTCTCATAAGTTGAATACATTTCACAATAACATTATGGATTTGTAAGGCATCAAACTAAATTAATGGATATTTGATTGTGTTTTTTTATTTTCCTGCACTTTGAAATGGAGATAAGGACCTACTCAGGTTCGCTTCTCCTGCCTCCCAAGATTTAGCTAATCATATCTAATTAGAAATCTTGTTAACACAAAGAAGGGAACAACAGACACTGGGGCCTAATTGAGGGTGTAGAATGGGACGAGGGAGAGGAGCATTAAAAAACAAAACAACAACAACAACAAAAAACCAACTATTGGGTACTAGCCTTAGTACTCGAGTGATGAAATAATCTACACAACAAACCCCCAAGACACTAGTTTACCCCTGAATCTAAAATAATTTTTTTAAAAGAAAAGAAATCTTGTTACCAGACAGCTTGCAAAACAGAAACATTCTACTCTCTGGATAGTTTCTTCCTTAAATAATTGGTGATGTAAAGTAGTTTGTCATATTGTCGAGCACTTGAATTTATTTTTTAAGCTGAGATTAAGATTATAAGCATTTGAAAATTGAGACTGAGCATTTTAGACCAGTTAGCTAAAATAAAAATTCGCACACAGAAATTACAAATGGAATACAACTGATTAAAACTTGAGAATACCTTAAACATTTTAATGACACTATACACAACAAAATAGATAGTATTGAATATTGCTAAGGCATTTACACAAATAAATAGATTGCATAAAATCTATATAAAGAGCAGTTGGTGAGCAGACTGCCTCACTGGGAACATTTCAAGCAGAATGAGAGCTAGAAGAGAAATGGCCATACAATGACCCTTTTAAAGATGATGACTGAGGCGGAGAAATTCACAAGACCCTACAAAGTCTTTAATGACTGTAGAGAATCTGGACTTAGTTTCTCAGCAAGACTGGCAATCTTAGGTGAGTGAATTTACTCATTTTAAAACAATTAGTTTTCTTGACAGCAAATGGCCAAATCCCTAGAAACCTAGATCTCTCCTTATAAAAGATCTAACTTTCTCTCCATCCAACATAAACCTTAAAGTGCAGCTTTAAGACCCTGAGGATCTTAAGTATATACCCTAATCTCTACAATTCACTCTAATAGCATCCTTTTATTAAGAACTTAATATGATGCAAGGTACTGTCATAACTGATTATATTCATTGTTTTTTAACTTATAAATGTCTGAGCAAGGCAAGGCATTGTTTTCTCCTTTTCACAGCTGAGTTAAATGATGCTTAGTAACTTTCCCAAAGTCACATAGCTTGTAAATTGTGCAAATAGTGCTCAAACTTATATCTGCTCCTTCTAAGTTCAAGGCCCTTAAGCACATAATTATGCTAATTCATTGTTCAAATCAATACTACTGCCCTCCCTCATCCTCTCAATTGTCTTTGACCCTGTTGTAAACAAAGCATCCATCTTTATGTGAAAGATTAGTACAGTTTTTAAAATAGAAGTTGCTCCTATTTTAAAGAAATGAGAAGAATATAAAAGTTAAAACAATATTACATGCAATCAATAAGTGTGTGATTAATTAATAAAATATAAGCTGTGTCTTTTCTTGGTATGTGTTACTTACTCTGGTATTTGTTTTGGATAGCCAGTTAAGCTATTATCAGAGTAAGCATGGTTTTCCTATGAAGTAATAGCATTCCATCCGTATTAAAGTTAAATCTGGTAGTACAGTAGTGTTCTGTGCTGCTTTTCCTCAAGATTCACAGTTCCCAAAATAGCTGTGTCCTTTGTAAAGTAATGAAGAAGATTTCCGAGTAAGGTTAAGGTAAGCTGTAGCATATTCTCCCAGGTGTTACGAAATACTCTGGTTTTAAAAAGATCACCTCAATTAAAAAGCTTCTAACATTATTCCTTAACTGTGTGATCATGACAAGACTCCTAACCAGGTAAGCTTTGGTCTCTTCAACTGAAAAAGAGAATATTTGTATCTTTGTTTGGTGGCTGCTGCAAGGATTAAATAAGGTAGCAGGAGTAAACAAGCCAAATGTGGCGCCTAGTGAATAGAAGCCACCCTATAAATGTAACTTGATTCTGAGCACTGTCATTCTCCAGAATCTTACAACTTCAAGATTAAGGTTTTATCACTGGTTCATTCTTTGTAAGACACAATTAACTAACATGGCAGCAATGCAGAAGTTCTTCATCTATTTATTTTTTCTTTCTTTCAGGTCCCTTTCCCAACATGCTGCAAGAAGTTGAGGTAGAGATCATAAGTAATGACACATGTAATCAAGTTCATGTGTATGGTGGTGCCGTATCATCAGGAATGATATGTGCTGGATTCTTGTCAGGAAAACTAGATGCCTGTAAGGTAAGAATAGATCCAAATCCACAAAAATGACTGTTTAGTAGGAATGGCCTTACTGACCATAGAACAATATCATTTCACATGACTGCATGAAATTAACCTGTGGAGGAGAGTGTAAAATGAGGGAGTGGAATAATCCTAAGACATAATTCTCATTTAACACCCTATTGAGGAGAACTATCGCTAAAACGTGGTCACCAGCTGCAAATAGCACTCTCATTAGAGAAACATACTGAAAGCAGATAGTAGAAACCAAGTCAGGAAGCCATACAATAATTGCTTCAAGCCACAATCATAGCCAGTAGTTAGGTACTAATCCCCACTAATTGCAAGGTACCGCAAGATGGGACCTGCATCTACATCTATGGCCAGTGAAGTAGCATCTCACAGGTCCCACAGGTACCTAAGCCATTGACTTTAAACAACATACTTCCAGACATAATTATGCTATTAGAAACAAAACAAAAAAGTACGTATTTATCTACATTTGTTCAGGGTAAAGTGTTACCTCACAGATCACATTTAGAAACTAATTCAATAAATATAATCATTAAACATTTTAGGAGAATATAAGTATTAAATTCTGGCTATGTAAAGGAACGAAAATAAGCAAATAAAATAATAAAAGTTTAAATTTGTAGCATTTGAAACTGGAACAGTTTAGTGATTTTTTGAAGAATTAAGAATGGCTTTGAGAATTTGATATATATGTGCACTTTTCTTATATGCAAAGGTGCCGCTGTTGATCTGCCATTGGCTGTCTGTCATGTGATGGTAATAAACATATTCACTTATTCATTCCATTTTTTGTCAACCGCGAGATACTGTAGCAGTTACTGAAGGAAGCATAAGTATTTGTTAAAATCACAATGAATCCACAATGAATTTACAATCTAATAATATAGCACACAAATAATTCAAACAAATAAATGAAAGGCGAGAGCTTGGCTACATATTCTAGAATACAGGGTCTCCCTCCACTCACTTTCCATCATGAGGGGAAGGAGAAGCAATGTGGGTGGTCCGAGATATAACTAGATCACATGGCTTAAAAGAGAAACCCAAATAAATCTATGTAAAAGCAGATCTCTCTTTCCACTGGTTCATATACCCTTGCTTCCTTTCACTGCTAGCATAGTGAAATACCAAGGACCTAAGTTAGGATGTGGGCCTAAGGAAAAGGAGCTAAGGAGGAGTTCTTTTGGTGGACCAAGGTTTTCACACTCTGTCCACTGACTCTGAAGGAGGTCAAGAAGTATGTGAAGAAAATGGAAGGGAAGGGAGCTAAAGGCACAAGACTCTAGAAGCCCATGTCTTCTTCAAACAGGATTTTTTCTCTTGCTTAAAAACTCTATAATGGGCTTCCACATAGTATTCTTTTGAATGAATAGGTACATTGTTAAAAGATCAATTTAAAATCATTTGTCTATACCAAGGTTTAAAGATAAGAGGGAAGTCCTCATAACTTTAGACCAGTCCGCTAGGGTTAGGGATTCCACCTTAGTTTGGGAGCAGAATATGTTCAGCAAGAAATAGCGCACATTTGCATGGAGTGCCCTTTGCATATGTTGCTCCTTTCAAACCTACTGAGACATAGTGATATGATATCCAGGACATTTTCCTGTCAATTAATGTGAGTGGAATAAGATGAGATTCAAATTCACAGCCAGAGACTCCTTCTAGTTAACAGAAACAATGATGGAAGAGACACTAGGCATGAACCTGGGAGAGGCTTATGGACAAGGTGACTTGTTTATTGAGTCTTGAGGTTATCATTTATGTAAGACATAGAAGAACACAGTCCTGTGTCTTAGTTAATCCTTCCTAGTCTCATGCCCAGTGTCATAGAATTTCGTTTTGCTCTGTCTAAACTAAAACTAAAATTTTAGACAGCAAAACTAAAAATTGTACAAGGGTAAAATTGAAATCTTAGCTTTATTCACATTACCTTGTATCTGAAGGCATTAACAGGGAGTAAATAATAAGCTCAATTATCATATTAATACTAATGGTAAGTAAAATATTACATATTTTGATCCAAGGTGTTAGTTTATTAGACATCCAGATGCCAATTAACCCATTTCTGACAACCCTTTATTTATCAAATTGATCATATTGTTTTCTTCTTCTTTTCCAGGGTGATTCTGGAGGTCCTCTGGTTATTGCACGTGATAGAAACGCCTGATACCTTGTTGGAATAGTAAGCTGGGGGATAGACTGTGGAAAAGAGAACAAGCCGGGACTCTATACCAAAGTGACTCATTATCGAGACTGGATTAAATCTAAAACTAACATCTAATGCAACAATCATCTCAAATCCAAACTATAAATGTAATGTGTGGTCTCTAGAAAATTGTGTTTAGTGTGTGTCGCCATGTGTATTATCTTCGAGTTCAAAATCCAAAAAAGTGTGATCTAATGACTTTCCCCTTAAACACGGAGAAGGCAGGCTTTCCTTCACATCATCTGAAGTGTTTTTCTCCTATGGGCACAGAAGATATTTCAGCTATACAAAGATCTACCATTGCTGCTAAGTGTCTCTGATTTGTTCATTTTTCTTCTTCTAAGACATACAATATTCCTTTCAGAGTGAACTGGCAGTTGAATCAGATAAGAACCAATTGGCTAAGCATGCTCTACTTTTTCACTGAAACGGCATGCCTCCCGTACCTGATGGCTCCACAGCTTTAGTCTCTCTTGTCAAATATTCCTCATTAAGAATGTGTGGGTTCACTGAACTAGATAAGTCAAGGTTATTAATTTTCACCATTGTTAACACAAATGATGGAAGGGACACTAGGCATGAAACTAGGGCTTAAGAGATGGCACTACTGTGAATCCATTCCCCTTTGCCCTCAGAAGTGCATTTAACTTCCTTAGAAACTTGAAAAAGATTGACATTTATATTTACACTCAATGATGTAGATTTTAGTCTCTTTAAACAATTACACTGATGTTTATTTTGGAGCAATCAATAAATCCCTGTCAAGAGAACTGTCAAGATTGCTTTGTACAGGATTCTGCTCTAAACTATGTAAAAATGCTTTTATATACTCATAAATTAAAGGCAACCTTTCTTGGCATTTTTAAGTTGAAAGGAAAAGAGGCAATGATTCAGTGAGAAAGAGCTAGTTTCACTTTCATCTTTAAAATGAGAGAAGTTTCAATCTTTGCATAAACTTACTTTTCACTTTTTAAAATTATCTCAATGTATTTTCTTTAAACAATTTTCAACAAACTTCAGAACAATTAAGGGTTCTGCAGAATGGGAAATCAATATAAATTAGATATTCAGAAACACCTTACAGGAGAAGTCATTATAAAATTAGACATTCACAAACAATTTGATACAAGATTTTGGTAAAGACTATATTGTGTAATATTTACATTTATTACTAAAAGTGGCCAGCATTTTTTTGTATATTAATATTTATAGATAATCAAGAAAATATCTTTGGAATTACTTATTATGTTGAAGTCGTCATTTTTATATGTATTTAATTGCATATTTTATAGTACTGTACATGACTGTGGACTAGTATTTAACAAAATCCATGCTTATTCTGTGTGTCTAAACCTTTATTCCCACCTCCCTTTTAAAATTAATTTAGTTAATGAGATAATTGCTGTGCTAACATCTTTTGGGGAGTTTTATATTGAGTCTCTCTTGCCCCACATAATAGGATATTGTATATGTTAAAATATATATGTGGCAACAAACTCAAATTCATTCTGTTTGAGTCATCGCTACAATGCAGGATTTCTCAATCTCAGTGCTATTGACATTTTGTCACAGTTAAATCTTTATTGAGGGAGGGGGAGAGACTGTCCTGTGCATTGTGATATTATCAACATTCCTAAACTTTACATACTAGGTTCCAGTAGTACTCCCCTGCAAAGTTCCAACAACCAAAAGTTACTGCAGACATTACCAAATGTCCCTTGGGGAGCAAAATGACCCTCAGTTAAGAAATACTGCTATGGGATCAATAGTAATAGGAAAAAAAAAATTCACTATTAAAAATCATGCATTCTGTTCTCACTCATAGGTGGGAATTGAAGAATGAGATCACTTGGACCCAGGAAGGCGAACATCACACACCGGGGCCTGTTGTGGGGTTGGGGGAGGGGGCAGGGAGATATATCGAATGTAAATGACGAGTTAATGGGTGCAGCACACTAACATGGCACATGCATACATATGTAACAAACCTGCATGTTGTGCACACGTACCCTAGAGCATAAAGTAGAATAAAAAATAAAAATAAAAAAATAAAAATCAGGCACTCACAATTTCCTTACATGAGTTTGGAATTTTTTTTCTTCTCTCTCTTTTATAATGCTGACGCTTTGAAAATGCTAGGGAAAAAAGCCTAGTATGACTACATTCATATTTATACCATCTTAGCCAAATTAGGATCATCTGGAAACTGATCTTCCTGATTGGAGAAAGTTAGAGAAAGAAGACCGTTTGAAGGCTGAGCTCCTACAGGCAAACATACATGAATATATAGTGAGTTATTTGTCAAATGCCTAAATCTTGAATAATTGCACCAAGTATACTTTATTTAATATTTTCAGAATGTGTAGACAGTATTCAAAAAGGGGGCTTATGTATTCAGCTGAGACAGAAGGGCTCAGCCCTTCATCATCCATTAACACTTAGCAGTGGAGAATACAAAATTGCATAACGTCACTAAGCACTAAAAGCTACACTATCCAATATGAAAGCCACTAACTGGATGAAGTTATTTAGACAAATGAAATAAAATAAAAATGTATTTCCTCTTACGAATCACATTTAGTCATTAGTGTCATACTAATCACATTTTAAGCACAAAATATTCATGGTTACTATTTTGAGCAGCATAGATATAGAACATTTCCATCATTTACAAAAAGTTCTATTGGACATCACTGACCTAAAATATTCAAAGTACCCACTTACATAATTACTTATTCATCTAACGAGCATTTCTTAAACCTCTATGTGTCAGGTATTGAGTACTCTAGCCATTGAATATACATTTGTATATAAAACTAAGTCTCCATTCTCAAAGTCACGTGAAGTGTTTTTGATAGCTACTGTCTAAAGTAACATACTCTTTTGGGGCTGTGTTTGGCCAGGCACAGCATTATTTTTAGACCCTTTTTCTTCTATTGGCACCAGTCCACTGGTGGAAAAGGGGCCACCAGAGACTTATGGTTGAGGCTGCGATGGTCAGAAACTGGATTTTCAACTGACCTTAGAAAAAGATGAAAGAACTTCTCTATTTAATAGGATATTAAAGAATCAAAAGAGTTTTTGTCGTTTTTTAAATCAAGAGAGTATTTCTTTTAAGCCAGGAAGATATGCTAATGGCAACAAAGTAAGGGTAACAACTAATGGAAGAGCATCAGAATGACTTAGTCACACAGATTAAAAACCACATATGACTATTTAAGCAAGCAGCCAACCCAAATACAATGAGAATTGGATTGCATAATCCATTAATGTCATTTTATTGTAGTTAAATACAGCAAATGTGGAAATAGCAGGTCACTGGGACCCACATTGTTCAGGAAAAGCAATAAAGTTTGACCAAATGTGTTATAGTATGCTGCCATCTGCTGGTGCATGTTATTTAAAAAACATAGTTTATTTTACAGTTTACCCTTGAACAACCTGGATTTGAACTGCACAGGATCTGTATTAGTCTGTTCTCATGCTCGTAAAAAGACATACCTTAGACGGGGTAATTTATAAAGGAAAGAGGTTTAATGGACTCACATTTCCACATGGCTGGAGAGGCCTCACAATCATGGTGGAAGGCAAGGAAGAACAAAGGCACGTGTTACATGGTGGCCAGCAAGAGAGTTTGTGCAGGGAACTGCCCTTTATAAAACCATCAGGTCTCATGAGACTTATTCACTACCATGAGAACAGCATGGGAAAGATCCACCCCCATGATTCAGTTACCTCCCACTGGGTCCCTCCACGACATATGGGGATTATGGGAGCTACAATTCAAGATGAGATTTGGGTGGCGACACAGCCAAACCATATCAGAGCTACTTATAGGTGGATTTTTTTCCACCTCTGGCACTCCTGAGACAGTGAGACCAATCCCTTCTCTTCTTCCTCCTCCTCAGCCTGCTCAATGGGAAGACAATGAGGATGAAGACCTTTATGATGAGCCACTTCCACCTAATGAATGGTAAATATATTGTTTCTTCCTTATGATTTTAATAACATTTTCTTTTCTCTTACTGGTATACAGTACACATAACATAAAATACATATGTCAATCAACTCTTTATCTTATCAAAAAGACTTCCAGTCAACAGTAGGCTATGCATAGTTAAGTTTTGAGAGAGTCAAGAGTTATACATGAATTTTTGACTATGTGGGCTCATTAACTCTAACACCCATGTTGTTCAAGGGTCAACTGTAATTTCATTTCAAGCTACAAAGTTATGTGAGCTGTTTCCCAACAAAGAGTAATACAAAGGCAAATCTAACAATCTCTCCCTGATTTTCTGCTAAGCAAATCAAAGTTCAAACTTTTGTATATCTTTTTACATTATTTATGTTTATACAAACATAAATAAATATATTCACTAACGAAAGGCCTATTAAATAAATACATATATATCTTCACTAACAAAGGGTTTATACACTTTACATTTCAAAAATAAGATCATTTGGTAAGTATACTTGTGTGTGTGCATATGTATGTATATGTATACACACACATAGGCTTTCGCTTCTATAAAAATGGTGTGCTAGCATAGGACACTTGTTCCCTCCTCCAAATCAACCCTAGACACACTACAGATAAAAGAAGTGAACCTGGATTCTAGGCCAGAACTAGGAGACTAGAGCTATCTTGAACTAGATAGAGTGTGTAGGGAGTTAGGTGGCTGAAGCCTAGAGTAGAATGAGAGGATAGTTAAGAGAAAGACTTTTTAAGTTTTTCTCTTACATCTCCCAACACCATGTGATGCCCTACATTGCCTTGAGACAATCTTTACCTTCTTATCATACCAGAAACTAGTCTTAGCAATTCAGACCACCAATTTTGAAAGGACGGGAGAAAAAGCCTGCTGAGGAGAGAAGTTTCTGGAAAAGGTAGCACCAATCAGCTGCTTTCAGGTGCTGTCTTCTCACCTTTACCCCTCCAGATCTCCAGGGCTGTTGCATTAAAATTGAAAGAACCTGCCTTCTCCTAGTGCTGCTTCACTCTTGAGAATTTATCAGTGAAATTCCCACTGGAAAAGTCAACTGACAGAAGGTCAATGAGTGAGAATGATCAATAATAGGTATTGTGGCCTCTGGGACTCTCTGCCCTAGGATTCATCCCCAATCTTTCCTTAAATTCACTTTGACTGACACAAGTAAACACCTGCCCTTTGACCCTTCCACAGCCCATGCTCCCTGATACAGCAGCTGATGCTCCTGTAGAAACATGAAATCATAGTTTAAAATATGTAAACTCCAATTGTACAACTTCTTCAGAAGAAATAGACAAGATAACATATAGCCTCTGAAACAGAAGCATTAGTATAAACAAAGGATGTAAAATACATATTATATCAATACTTAAAGATATAAGGGAAGATATGAGCTATTTGTCATTGCTCACTTTAATCATCTGAAATAAGAAGAAGCACGCATAAAAAGAGAATGAAAATATCAGACATGGAAAATGTAAGAGTTGAAATACAAAAGCACAGTTGATTAGATAAATAATAGGATAGTTACAATGGAAAAATAAATTGAATTGCAAGTTCAAATTGAAGAACTCTCAGAAAGGAAGAAGGGAAGGACAAAAATATAAAAATAATTTTTTTTTTAATTTTTGAGTTTAAGTTTATTGCTGAATTGGGGGAGTATATTAATAAACATGTACAAAATTAAAATATAATGTGACAAGTGTGGTAGTAAGGTATATTGAAGATATACCAGAATATTTAGATTGTCTCTAATTCCTTTAGTAAAACTTGCTTTCAAGTATATGCCATAAAAACCAACTCATACTATAAAAATAAATTTTAAAAAGGTAGAGATATGAAAGATAGAGAAGTAGAGATGCCAATATCCCAATTACAAGATTCTCAAATGCAGAAAAAAAAATTAAAAATTGAGATGAGGAAATATTTTAAAAATTAATGAAGGTAAGATTTTAGTAATAAAAGAAAACTTAAAAACTGTATATAAAGAAGGCTTATAGAGTTCCAAATAGAAGAAATAAGGAAAAAAGCATATCTTGATATGTTAAAGTGGATTTTAAATTTAAAACATTATAAAAGCTACCAGA